ACTAGCGTTTTTCTATAGTACACCATTGATGTCCACATTTACAGCTTGAAATTAAAGTGTACATTTGAGACATTCTGCAGTTTCCTCTTAAAACCCTCGTTGATATTCATGAAGCTTTTCCGATGCTAGTAAGACAAGGAACGTTTTTGAGTGGCCTTTACCTCGCTACAAGTGAGCCGCGTAAACAAAGAAGTCTTTGCTTGCTTTTCTTTTCAGAGTTGCAGTCAAGAATCTTGCGTCGCCGGCAGATTAGCATTCGAATTACCAGAGCCAAGAGCGTGACATTGAGCCAACAATTTCGGTTCTAAGATTATTCGTTGAAACAGACAGTATTTTTAGCGTTAAATGTCCGTCGTGAACTGCACGGCGTTGCAAAAATAATTAGGCTGGGAATCTCTTGCAACAATACTTTTGGAATGTATAAAAATTTTTAATTAACCTAAATCTGATTTATTACTAAAAATTTTCATTTTAAATTTTAACCTTATATTTTTATAGCAGGAAAAAATAGAGAAGGAAAAGTCGAACCTTATTTGAAGCGATTGGAATTTGAGAAAATATAAACAAAATAATATGGTAATCGAAACGGTGAATTTTGTATGCTGTCCGATAAGATATTCCACCATAGTTTATTGGGGCAAATTTTAGATGATAAGTATTTGTGCAAAAACCAAGGTGAATGATCAATCAATACAATTTTATGCTTTATAAAATATCTTATTTGATATTGATGTCTTAACAATTTATCAGATATTTAAACATGTTTTATTTTTCAGAACGTCTGACATGTAATGGCGTGACAGGTATAATCAATTGTTGCAGTGCTCTCATGAATGGCGGATGTTCGTCTATATTCTTCCGCGGGCGCAAATGAAAAATGAGAACGCTGTATTTGCCGACTAAACAAACTTGCGTATTTAAGGGCCCCTTCAAATTAGGTGCAATGTTGGTGCAAGACCGGGAATTTTTTGACCAAACACTCAAAGCGATGAGTGGGACTTTAAAAATTTATAGGGTATTTTTCTTATTTTATTGATTTTTTTAAATGGGACTGATTTAACGATGAATATTATTGTTATATGATGCATGCCCTAGGAGTGGGAACGGTACACTCAGAAAATTAAAATGTGATATTTTCCAAATTGTGACATACTTTCTAGTCCATAGCAGGAGCATTAAACGGTCGTAGCACTGATACGCCCAAACTGCGAATAATTATCCGATCCAGACTGGGTCAGGATGACCCACCCAGGATTAAAAAGTGCATCGTTATTAGGACAACATCTCACTAATTTCTCTTAGTGATCCTAGTGAAATTTTACAGACGCGGCAGCTTCTGATTTGTATTACCAGAAGCTGGGGCGACTCTAAATTTTGTTAGGGCCAGTGAAAATTTGCAGACGCGGCAGCTTCTGATTTGTATTACCAGAAGCTGGGGCGACTCTAAATTTTGTTAGGGACGTGTGCATTAATTTGCACAATTGTGCATTTTAGACCTGCATCTGTTTTTGTAGTCATCTTTACTGGATTGAATAAATAGACTTCTTCTTGATTACCAAGAGTGCGCGTGTCTGAACCAGGGAGGAAGTAAAAATGAAAATAAATTCTTTTAAACATTTGTTTTGAACGTTCTGCTATTTTTATCCATCACAGGTTTTCATCAAATAAATTTTAACATGAGTTTAATTAAATAGTTGATACATAAAGTTTGATGTAGGAAATATGTACATGAAGCATTAATGGTTTCTGCTTGAATAATTTTTACAATTGATGGTGAGGTCTTAATACTTATTAGCATTATGTCATTTACGGCCCAAAATATCACTTAAATTAGAGCATAAATAGGGTTTATGAATAATAAAAAACGTTCGGAAAATTTCATGTTTCTAATTCCAAGTCTCCAACTGTGATAAATTTACTCGCATTTTAATATAATCGAGCGATGTATTAATTTCACAACGTGGGAATTTCTCGTGTGTTTTTATACAAAATTGGATTCTCGCCATTGATCAAGAATTTGAAATTTGGGGGATATTTGGACCGACGCTCGTCATAAGTTTGTGTATCTTTTACAGCCATAAATTTTTGCCTTGTCAAAGCCAGGGCAAATTTATGAGCCATTATAGAAACATTTAAAAAGTTTGACGGCGTATCACCTGCCACCCTTGAAGGGGTCCAAGTTGTGGTGCCTTGGCATGTACGCAAAGACCAGCCTTCATAATGTAGATATATTGGTGTAAATAATATATTATTCCTCGAATACTAGGCTTAAATTACTAAGTATATTGGTTGTAGATTTTAATTTTATATTAATATTAATGATGTTTGGAATTGCAGGAATGTTGTAGAGAGTGTTGGAACCGAAGTCAGAGGTTACGGGTACGAAAGAAAGCAGATTGAACGTTGATCAGAAGGAAGCTTTGCGTAAGATTGATCAAAAACGCCACTCACTGTGCGTAAGATTGATCAAAAACGCCACTCACTTGGCGTAAGATTGATTAAAAACGCCACTCACTTGGTGTAAGCTTGATCAAAAACGCCACTCACTGGGCGTAAGATTGATTAAAAACGCCACTCACTTGGCGTAAGATTGATCAAAAACACCACTCACTGGGCGTAAGATTGATTAAAAACGCCACTCACTTGGCGTAAGATTGATAAAAAACGCCACTCACTTGGCGTAAGATTGATCAAAAACGCCACTCACTTGGCGTAAGATTGATCATTGCCTGTTTATCAAGTCTCTGAAGTGATCACACATTAAGTGCTACGTTCTTCATGTACTATGAAATTTGTATTATTATGATGTATGAAGTTGTATTACGAAATTTCATGTATTATGATGATATATTATGAAATTTGCATTAATTCCGGATATATTATGTGTTTTGTGATAGAGTAGTTTTAATATGATTGTTACTTTTACCTTATCACGGAACCTGTGGGCAGCTAATTTATATTTCCACCTGAGTATTGTGTTGTTCAATAGAAAAATATTGGCATAATTATATTAAAAAACTCAAATTCGCCATCTCAGTATCACAGGTAAAAAAGTTTGATCGTAATTCTGATGTGATTCAAAAAATTTTCCATTTGAAGTAAAAGCATGATACCTCTTAATCACATTTATTTAAAAATCATAAAAGAAATTTTTATTAATAAGCAATTGTGATCCCTCAAATATTCTGATACATTATTCGTATTTATATTATGTCTAGCAAAAATAAGCACTTATTTTTATTTTAAAATTCTACTGATCGTTCCAGGAGACGAAGAACATGAAAAAATGTAAAAAAAAAATTCCTGAAAAATTTTTCGATTCGCCACATTTATATCGAACGGCGATAAATCACTGTTTATGCTGCTGATAACAGCCCTTTTATAACTGTTATAACATGACCCTTTTATGACTGTTCTCAGTGACATCACAATTCGAAGGCAGGAATTATATCATCGTGATAAAAAAATGTGAAGAATTTGGCCTGGTGAGTGCCTGCGCAATTCTCAGCACAAGATCTCGACTTCAAAGAATTTTTTTCTGCGAGAAAAAATAGATAAAAAAATTTCTTCTGTAAATTAAAGAAGCAAAATACATTTTAATTTTTCATCATAATTTTGATAAAGCATCCAAATCGTACCATATGTCATGGGTGCTTGCTTGAAAATTTTTAGCGATCACTTTCTAGATCATTTTAGTGTGATATTCAAACATTAACATCTTGACAGTATTTTATATGAGGCTCAATAGGTAAAGTTTTAATTACGGAGACTAACAATAGGATTTACCTGCGTTAAATTCACTGCAGAGTTCCGGTAAGGCCATCAAAGCAGCACGCACACTTTGCGTTCTTTTTTCTTGCAAAACTCCGAAAAATTCTACGCATGATTAATCCTTCATCCATACCCACCAGTGGAATAAGTGCAATTATATTTTTCAAACAGTCATTATAAAATTTAAATTTTCTTCACGTAGCTGCATTAACCTCTTACATCTTAACCATGAGTAGAAAATTGGCAACTCTTTGACAGTCTTCAGTGTTCTCGAGTTCAGCGTTTCGTCAGAAAATTTTCTATTTATTTCTCATGTGGATATGGTAAGGCAGTCGGAGTTTTGCTGACGCTGCATTTTGCTATAGTGCAATTCCTTTTCATTCGCAGTCAATAAAGATTACAGTTGTGGAATTTATTATTGAGTGAAAGAGAGGAAATTCCTTCGTTTGTAACATTTTTTAGGAACTGCATTTTACCATAATAATTATGCAGAATTCGTCTTACCATGGGTGAATAATTTTTTTCACAATCCAAATCTATATTTCTAGGATTAAATGCATGATTATTTCGGCAGAGTTTTATAATTCATCATACATTAAGCACCAATAAATAGCCAAAAATTTAGAAAAAACTTGCACTATATCGGAAGGAAGAAAAGCAACATCATGTAAATTGGCAGATGCACAAAATTGGCCGCTACAATTAAGGGTGGAATTATCGGCTCGTGATGGACGTTTAGAGACAAGCTAGAGAAATTTATGGCCAACCTCAATAGGAAATTAATGGTTGAGTTTCTTTCTAAGGCTTCTAGAGAACAATAGTAAAGGCATTTGTTTCCTTCCAGAATTTTTGCAACCTGGTTCAATGTAAAGGAATTTTATTCTACATAGGAACTTGGTTTTATTTCTTTAATGCGAAAAAGAAATGTATGTTTTGGTCAAAAATTCACTAGCAGTTTTCTGAGTGCCCTAAATTTGAATATAATTTTTCCCATGTTTCCGATGATTCCACAATTCCAAACCGTAATCACCTTGCGTGTGTTTTTCATCTGAGATATTTATTATCATCTATATTAATAATTAAACTGCTTTCAAATTGAACAGAGATTTCACGAGCGGCAGTCATGATAATAATAGTTGAATACAAAATCACGTGGATAAATACTATTTCACTTTGTTTGTCAATGATTAAACAATTTTCTAATTGGAATACACTTGTTTCTTTTTCAGAACCTGAAGAACCAAATCATGACGACCAACCTCTGGGTCGAGCAGGTAAGACTGATACGTTATAACCTAGGAGTATAATTTTTTATAACATATAAAATATAATTTTATATATTATTTAATTATATACAAGAATTTTAAATTGACATTTTAAAGTATAAGTTCCTTAATAGGTCCTTGTTTATCTGTTGAATGAAATGCTCAAATGTCTAGAAGAATCAAATACCATAATTTAAGTACAGGATATCCTAAAAATAACCGACTATTTACACGTAATTTTATAATGCGTCACCGACAAGTGGTAGGAGGGGTCTTGTAAAAATCTCCAACCATACCTGAAATTTTGACCAGCACAAAAAGCAGTCAACTCATCATTTTATAGTGATGTTGAGGGCTAGGTTAATTATTAAGGGCCAACAATATGTATTATCTTTATGTATAGTGTATAGGAAAAGGATGTATTTAATTAGGATGTAAAAAGTTGTAAGATTGCTTTAGAAAGAATCGTAACTTTACTGGCTGGTGTCCTCCGAACGAAGATCATTCGGATTTTAGAGAGCGGACAGTTAGGATGTATCTATTTTGTGTGTTTATGTCCTGTTCCAGATAGCCTTAACGGACTTTGTAACCTTGCTCGATTTTATAGCTGTGTTGTGAGGTGAGATTCAAAGTATATCTTGACCAGAAAAGACTTTTATTCATGACAACCGTTCATGCGAACCTGGTGGTCCACAACAGTGAGGTAATATTTTTTATATTTATAGTACAGGAGGAATGAAGTAAAAAAGTTCAACTCTACTTACTACCCAATAAAAAACTGTGGAAAATATTAGGAACTTGCTTACTTTAAAATATTGGTGTGCTCCTGAGGAAAGTTTTATTGACGAAGTGACCAACAATAATTATTGGCTTTTTCCAAAATATTTTTTCCATGAGGCCTTTAATTTTCCTAAATATTTTTTCAGATTAATTAACTTCACTAATTCAACCAATCCTGTGTCTGCGCTAATTTTTCCGTCGCTTTATATGAAACGACTTTATCCTCACCAAAATATTGCGTTATTATAAGTCTAACCATTTTTCCAATCGTGATTTAACTAAATTAAATATTATTAAGTAGTTTCAGGATATTTATTTCAATTTATCAAGCACCTTATATTTCATTGGTTAGAGTTAGAGAAATGAACGTTGATTGGAGAAATCACTACGGGCCAAGCAGTCCTCATTTCAGCCATCCTCATATTTCTAGTAGACGATAAAATACCAACGCTATAATCATCGGACATTATTCATGGACCATTAACAGCTGCATCACGGTGTAATACAAGAATAACGTTTTCTGTTCTGTTTGATCGACAATGCGCTATTTCCAATTCTATGCAAATGAAAGCATCGCTGTTTTTTCCCCCAAAAAAATGCAACACAAAATACAATAATATTTTGTCCCTTACCTATAAAGTCTTTACAAACATTCCCGTCTTTTAGCTCACACCCATCGATAATTATTATTCTTCATAAACATTGCCATCCTGTGCACCATACTCATAATTTCTTTACAAGCAAACAAACATTACTATATTATGCCTAAGACCATCAATTTTTAACAATCACAAACGTATTTTGCACTGAGCCCGTCAATTCTTCACAACAGAACCATATTCTGCACTAAACTCATCAGTTCTCTGCCTATGTAGATCTTGAACTGACCAAGAATGAAGTGCAGTAGAACTGATCTTAGCCAAGCCCTTTTAATCCACGTGTAAATTGGACGCAGCCACACAAATGCTTCTCGTACAAATTTCTGGCTACCAGGACTGGCTACTCTAAAAGGTTGTGGTGAAAAACACTGGTAAAAAATGCATTATGATTCGGGAAAAAATCGCCAAAAGAAACTTCATTGACCGGAAACTGATATAAGTCTTCATATTTGTGGCTAATTTTTCTAAATTCATTCGTTAGAAAAAATTTCCTAAATTTTATTGAGTATCTCAACACAATGACATCTCTAGAATCTTTTGGTTCAGAGTGCAAATGATTTTCTGCACCAAAAAAGATTCATTATGGACTATCAATCGAGAGCTCTCTGCAGGATTCCTAGTTGATAATTCATTTCTAAATTACTGCTGGAAAATGAATATTAAAGTTGTGTGCAGAAATGTTTTTGAATTTCTAGCTGAAACTCGATTATTCGTGAGTTTTTGTTTTTTTATCTATTAAGTTCATGTTAATCAATGTATAAATTGAATTCATGATCGCGTTTGTATGCATATGAGCTGCTAGAACAGACATCGATTTATTGACTGCATGTCAGTAAATTGAAATGTTTCTATGACATTGGTTCAATGAGAAGAATAAGATGTCGAAATTGAACAAGTCGGTAGCAAAGGAGTTCTTATTTACATTTACATTCATTAAAATAATAGCATATATAGAATTGATCCTTGTAAATTTACAGATGGATTACCTTTTCAAAAACTTATATTCAACTATAGTTGCGTAGTTTTTGGGTATAAAATTAGGAATTTGAGTCCTAAGATGGTTCATAAAAATTTGAGATATGTGATTCCGAACTTTTTTCGCCTAATTTCATTTTGCGAGCTGCCACCTTAGGCCTAGGCCCATCGATGTGCCGACCATACGAAGACCTGTAATCGTGAGGAATATCCAATCTGAGGCATGGTCGTAAGTTACGTCGTATCCACCTAACATCCTTCGATAAATGATAGCGTTAATTAATCGCCACCAATAGGCCATCGATGATCCACCCAAGATTTCATATTCCGGTCCCAATTACACACAAAAATTGAAAATTTCCCACACATTAGCCAATTCACATAACACTTGGCAATTCCGTTTTTCGTTTTCCACGTCAACTCCATTATGAAATTCGAAGATCTTATATGCATCATATCTTTATCTTCATGGCTCACAAGTACGTATCTATTATCACTCTAAAATTTTAATGCAAACTGCAGCTCTCATGGTCAAGTTTTTTTTCATTATTTTTCCTGGCTGGAAATAGTGAAGCAACATCGGGTAAAACACATAAATTTTTTTTTGCTGTCTTTGCTCAAAGTTTATATTTATTGTATTAAAATTAAGCGATGCTCTACCCAGCGTACTTATTTGCTTCTGAGTTGCATGATCAATTATATATCACCTGCTGCAATTTTATTTCAATTATATAAATAATTGCTGAACTTCAAATGGAAGATATATTTATTACTTATAACATATTTATTTGAAGAAAATTTTTAGCACATTTTCTCATTTATGGCAAGAAAGCCCTATTGTGCTCGTCATGCCCGTCTGTCCATCCGTCTGTCCGTCCGTCTGTCCGTGACTTCACGTTTTCGTCGATGAGAAAATGCGCTCTCTGTCACTCACTGCAGTGAGTACTGAGTTATATTTTTTATAAGAATTGCATTTTATCTTCGGCCTTTCCGATATTTTCCGCCACTTTTTCCAAGCTGACAACCGAGCGCCGCCATAACGCGCCAAGTCCCCCTGGAGCGATGCCACTAGCGTCCAACATCTATAAACTCTACACTCAGAGTAATAAGTGAGACTGTCCAAACAGCGATGAACTATTTGCTCCTGCATGGGTCATCCTGACTCAGTTGACCCGGCAAAAAAATTCAGTGCTACTTCCGTTATCTGTCTGTGCTGAGGGAAAGAACTGATACACTACTTGGAAAATATAAAACACGTATTTTCCTGAGTGAAATTATTGAACTTAAACGTTCTGGACTCGAACTCGCGGAAAGTCTACAGCAAGAAATATAATTGTATCAAAGACAGAAACTCCGAGCGTCTACTGGGAGAAATAACAATTTTGTAGCGTTTAATGGCCGGAAAGTCTGCGGTGCAGAGCGTTCTTCGTAGAAGACGATTAATTTTGTTGTAGAAAACGTTCGGTTACCTCATTCGACGATTATTCCTTATTTCTTTACGGTAGCACAATAGAGCTTATTAGGAGCAAGTAAATAGCAGTCACTGTTTCCGAGGTCCTTGAAAAGCATCAAAATGAGTGAGATTCTGTCTAGATAGCGACGCATTTTTTATCCTTGTGTGGGTAATTATGACCCATTTTGGCCCAGCATAATTAAAGATGCCCCAGTGCTACGTGCAAAAAGTGTGTCATTATATGGACAATCTTGCCCATTAATTTTTATGAGTGCACTTAATACTAAAGTATACAGAGGATATTTAATTTATGATCGTAATTTATGATTAATCACTGCAGATCAATAATTTGTGAAATCATGAAAATATATACATATGTGTATAAAAAGTCGGGTATGTAATTTGATGAATATTGTTTGGTCTTAGAAATATTCTTTTTCTTAAGCTTAGTTGAATAGAAAACACATGAAAAGAATGTAATTATTTTCAATTTTTGGCTTCAATAATTATCAACAATTATGTGTGAAAACACCTGAAACACGTGAAAATTATGTAGCATTGTTCGAGCGGTTGCCCTGAATTCAAGTAACAGTTCATTTGTACAAGTTCCAATTTGATAATGTCTTTCAGTAATAGAACTTTCTTTTTCTAGTATGAATACGTTTTTTCCTTCTCGTCCTGTGTTATCAATAGAATTCGCCCCTTTCTGTAACATTTCTGCATTAATTGATTATTTTTGATGCCTTTTAATATCTTTTTCCAGGCATGGCTTTATTTTACCATTTGTTATAGTCTTGCCCTCGGTCCCGGATAAAGGTTCACAAGCGTGCAGTATATAGTTTCTCGTACATGAACAGGTCATCGTATTCCTATTCTGCCGTATGTAAGAACAAACTCGGCAATTTTTCATTTAAATTTTCACAAAAGAATTCTCGTGACTCGCTTCACTAGAATAGCAATGCATACAATGGCTCCTATTGTCTCGTTCTTTGATCCCGAAAAAGCATCCCAAAATTATACTTTTATACTAAAAAATAAAAAGTACTCCCTCGAAAAATTGTACTTTCACCCCCCCCCCTCTAAAAAAAAGTACCCCCTCGAATGTATATAAGTTTGAGTCCTTTTGAATTGAGAACGCGCAA